CGAGAGCGCAGTCCAAACTTTCCGCTGTAATATAGCAGCTACATTGTCGAGCTTCACCACTTTTCTCTGTCTCGTACTTTTCTTTCCTTGTTCGACTTGTCTACGTCCCGGCGAACTCGCGCAAGTAAACTTTATCTCTGCTTTAACTTGCTGTCTTTTTCTTCAATTAAGTACTAAACAGCTGCGCTTCGTCATTACCGAGATGGATAGCGGAGAGTCGATCGATTGGCGCTGCGGCTGACAGCTGGACGATTTACCCGAGGAAGCTCCGCGCTCTCACGCAGGCAGCCTGAGCGAGATCGAGAGCTGGTAATAACTCGGGTAGGCGAGCGCTCGAATCCTGCCTCTCTCTCTCTCTCTCTCTCTCTCTCTCTCTCTCTCTCTCTCTCTTGTGCACCGACCCGGATCTTTCCAGACGTACGACCCACTTTACCCTCTCAATTTCTAGCCGCGCAAGAGGGCGAGCAACTTTTTATTTTCAACGAGGCCGTGAGTCGATGTACTGCGCGCCCAAGTCGAGCACGAGCGCAGCCCCGACGTCTAAGCCAGCGCAATTTTCGTCTCGACGATATGTCGTTGACACGGGCTACAGAACGCGCTGTGTTCCTGTCTTCCTGTCATCCAACCCTGCTCGCAGACATCGCCGATCACTTCCGCCTCTTCGCGGCTTGCCTGCGCGCCCCGATATTAGCGTCCTTGTTCGCACGCGTTGTCTCCAATTATCGTACTTTCAAATAGGTTTCGTTGCACAGACCAGCTCTGTGCCTCTTCACGGCCAATCATCATGACTTACTTCTTCCAAACGTGCTTTGCCATAACAAATGACTTTCAACGGAAATTTATCATTTTTTGAGTGCCATGTGTGTGTGTGTGTAAAACGCTGAAAAGACGATCGGCTCGGTCATACTTATATGCTTTTACGCAAAGCCGATATCGAATATTTACTATCAATGGCAACTTTGTAACTTTTATCAAGAATTTCTACTTAACTTTTTCAACAGTAGGATTGCTCGAATTTTTTTTTATTTTTCAAGAAGGCAAGAAGGAGTATACTTTTCTATTGAAAAATGTTCCGACTACTTCTAATAACTCCGCAAAAGTTGTTAGCCAAAGTTTGGAACGCTATCCTCTATCCATACTTTATTGTTCTACTACGGCTACTACGTTATACCGTGAAAAGGCTCGCATGCTCCAATTCCACTATATATCGGGAACGTAATCAAATATTGTTAGAACGTTTGTCGTGTAAATCTGTTCTAAAACGTGTATGAACTTTTCATCGAATGCCACAATTTGACAGCATAAAGTTTAGAATGCCGTAAACGATATTAATAGTTGATTGAAAGGATAAATAAAGTTGTCATAACAAACTAAATAAAAATGCCTACTTATGGAAAAACGCTTGAGGCGATCTCTCATGCAGAGGGAAGGTCAACTGTGCACTTGTCCGTGCATGAACATACACACTAGCAGAAGGTCGTTTTGATGCGTTCTCTCAGAAAGTATACAGCAACGGTCTGTCTACATTACTTATTTATAGCTTCTACACGATACAAGATCTTTCTATTTGAATTTCATAAACAGCCGACGTGCTTTGATATATAATGAAAAAATGACTCTTTACGTGCACCAATTAAGGCTCCAGCAAATATCATCAGGAGCATACGTCGCTGAACATTTTATTCTAGTCAAAAATATGAAATTGTTCAAGCATGCACCAGTAAAGCTTATTGTTTGACAAGGAGAAGTTAATGGATAACTTATTCAATCAGTAACTTTTATGCAATTCAACAAGTTCAATCGTTATTATCCGCTATAGACAATTGCCATTTGAAACCGTCAGATTTCATCAGATGAACGATTGAACAGCGAATAGTTTTGAATATAACTACTATATTCTGCAAAAGCGTATTAGTTTTCTGAAGTTTCTAGCCAATCATCCGACTGCTTGAAAGTAGATTGAGTTGTTAATCAAAAGGTATCGCGCGTCTGGGAAATAGAGAGCAGCTGCGATTTTGCAAGTAACTTTGTTCAGCGGACTTTTAAAAGATTTATAATTTATTTGCGTCACAGTTTTTTGCGAGTATAAGAAAAGCTTGGAGCGAGAGAGTGGCAGGGAGTTACTTTTCGGATTGCACTGAGCTTGATAAACCGAAGAGAGCTCGAGAGTTGAAATAAAGTGAATATAATGGAAGATATGCTGATCGAGAGGAGAAGAAAAAGCAGTTATGGCGAAGGAGTTGGATGGCGCAATGCGTTGCAGGAGGGGGGGGGGCGCAGCTGACGGCTGGCTAGTTAGTCAGGGTTCGCCGAGTGAGCCGAGCTACGGCTAGGTTAGCGCTACAGCTTGTGCTCCATATATAGCCGAGCGCGCGACACCTACGCAGAGGTGCGCGCTCTGAAACTGCGGGACGCGGGTCGATGAGTGGGCTGCGCGTACTCCCTCCTCGGCCCGCAATTCCAACTCTTCATTCATCGCTCCGCTCCAGCAGCTCGTTTTTTCGACCAGTTCGTTGCCGTGACCTTTGCCTCGGAAACAATCGACTTGGAAAATGCGACTACCCAACCCGTTGGGTGGGTCAGCCACGTCTCGGGTGGCTGCTTGAAGCAGGCGCGATCAGTCGAGTTAGCGTTGCAAACGTTACCCTTGTTCGCGTCGAACGTCCATTCGAATATTCTCTGGCGACCGATTCGGCCGATTCGATGAATTTTACCTGCAAGAACAAGCGCAGCAGATCAGATGAGCGCGCACCCACGCTCTCGACTAATTTTCCGCAGTGCCTTCACACCGTTAAAGACACTCGAGAGCTCAAGGAGAATACATGTGTCTGCTCTTTGGCCTCGCAAATTTCATCAGCCAACAAAGAAATCCTCGGGGTATTAACTGAAAGTGCAGGAGGCACGAGGCTTTCAGCAAAGCCACCCACGCTCAAGGATCTCAACGCGACACCGAGGGGAAACGCTACAAAACTACAAAAGGAAAGAGAACGGCAAATCTAATCAGCGCGCTCGTTTCAACATCCTCTACTGAGTAATGCTCCTCTTGCGAGGGAAATGATGAGATGTAAAACGAGTTTGACGGCGCATGACATGTTGAAAAAGAACAAGAGGCGCGAGCGCGCACCAGAGAGAGTGAGAGAGAGGGGGGAGGGAGGGGGAGGGATCAACGAACGCTCGAGACAAAACGAACGCGTGGAAAGAGGAAAAGAATAGTGCGCGCATATGCACTTATATAAGCGATAAAAGCTTTACACCAGCCGTGCAAAGGTGTCAAGTCTGCGCGGTCTGCGCGGACGCAGTTAAACCGCTTATCGTGTATACGTAGTCCCTTCGTCTGGAATTATTCCATGGGCATACACCTTCTTCCGACCAATAAATCTTCCCTCCCAACACTGATACCGACTTGTAATCTTCCCTCGGAGACGCTGTACTATATCCTCGTGTTGCTTCAAGTCTTAATCAATTACATTGTTTGACTATGCCGTTGCTTAAAATTAGGAGATTTTAGCGAATTAATGGCAGCATCAGTATGGAAAATCAAATGAAAACACGCACCGTAAAAGGTGAAAAGTTAGCTAGGCAATGCGAATAGAGGCAATGCGAATAGAGAGCAATCGCACGAGCAGAGCAGACGAGGGTAAGAGAGCTATTATGCAGCGGACACATGATTATTTGTTCGTAAGCCTGAAATTTGGTGCGAGCGAGAGTTAATATCGGTCATTTGGAAAGTTGCCTCGTGCCTAGACGTTGGACTATTGCAGGCTGCTGCAACAACTTTTGTGGTATTATCATAACTTTATAATGGAAGCAAGGTATCGAAGCGCAGGCAAGTAGTTGATAGTTGACGTTGAGCGATATTGACCGAGGCATGCAAGCGAACGTCAAGCTGCTGAACACAGACAAGAAGCATGCAGAAATGAATTATTCGGAATTGGATGAAGAGCAAGCGAACGAAGCAAATATGATTGATCAGCCGCAAGGCACGCGCCGTCATCGTCTCTCTCGAGCAGCCGTCGTGCTGTCGGTGCCGTTTCGATCGCAGTTTCTAATTTTTCTTCCCTCTTGGCTCTTCTACCAATGGTGTCGCTTATCGATTTTCAATCGGCCACTCTGACTGTGGTCAGACCTCTCTCTCTCTCTCTCTCGCTCTCGCTCTCTTTAGCCAGCAGCTCTCCGTTCACTACTCTGAACAAACAGCAAACCCAGCCGTTTGTCGCGACCAGACTCGTTCTTCGACCGTCAATATCATCAACCGACTCAACTAAACTATCTCGCCGCTGTCACTTCCGTGATTGTGTACAAGTTTGCATGAAAATTAAACAAAGTTATTCAAATATGTAGAGATTAGATTGACTGGCAGTCGAGCGGTTGAAGAAACCGCGACGGATGTACTGGCGCGAAGCGCTCGAGCCGGTACTCGCCAACTATTATCGGTCATAGTCAAGACATTCCAGCAAGTTTGCGTGACAGCTTCGACGGCATGTTGTTCGAGCATAAAGCAGCGGCGCTGCACGGGACAAGCGGTATATTTTTGGCCCGGGAGAAAGTTATCGGGCCATTCGGCGTCTCGCGACACGCAGAAACAGCAGACCTGTAGAAAGAGTCGCGTTTGCAGAGGCGAGCGCGTAAATAAGCCCCCGCCGAGGAACTTTCGTGCGCGAACATTTTATGCTCCTGGCAATGCCCAGAGGCGTACGCAGACTGGTACACTGGAAAGGGGGGGGTTAGATATCGATGGAGTCGGCGATAGAGCTAGCTTTGATCGTCGAGCCGAATGGAGCGCGCGCTTTTTTTTCGCTCGCAGCCGCTATTTAAGTATGCCCGGAATTGGCGCGAGGGGGTACGCCGGGGCCACGCACGCGCACTCGGGGGACGCGAGCAAAGTTTCGGCGCAATTACGCGACTCGCAAACGGTGCATGCTACAGGTTGGCGTGAATCCACGCGGCCCGTCCACTCTTGCGCGGAGCTAATCGGTGCGCCTCGCATTTTCGCATTGCAGAATGCCCGATGTCGGAGGACGGCATGGAGAGGTTCGCGTGTCCAACAGCGGACCGCATGGGCAGATACCACTGCATCGACGATCACGTACTTTGCGACGGCTACCTGGATTGCCCGATGGGCGAAGACGAAGACATGCAGGCGTGCATGTTCTACAGAACCGTGAGTACTGCAATTTCATTTGCCAATGAGACCTATCGGCTCGGATCGAGCCTCGGACGAGACGCGTACGCGGCAGAAAGACCGCGCAGTCGGCACTCCGACACGTAAGCGCTGCCAATCGAGCTGTCGATTGCACCAGAGGGAAAAGAAAGCGCCGGAGCACGTAGGTGTCTGGTCTGAGGAGGCTCGCCAATTTGTCCGCGACTGCGATGTGCTCAACGAGTTAAGCGCGGCTCGCCTGTTTGGTTGGTCTGTTGCAGACAAAAGCGCACATCGACATACTGGCGGACGCCCTGCTGCGCTGGGCGAGGGGCCGCTAATCAATTCCCCGGCATTCTGCTGCATGCGGCGGTGGCGGCGGCGACGTCGGCACGCATCCAGCCCCGACCACCCACTTGTACACGGACAAGCGCCACATCAGCAACAGCGGCAGCGCCGACGAGCCCGGGATGTAGCTTTGCGCGTGACCATACGTGACCAAACGAACGGAACAAGCTCGGCTCGCTCGCTCGCTCTCTCGCTCTCTCGCTCTCTCTCTCTCTCTCTCTCTCTCTCTCTCTTTCTCCCTCTCTCTATCTCTCTCTCTCTCTCTCCCTCCCTCGCTCCCTCTGCTCTCTTCGAGCCTCTCGATTCCCGCGCACTGCGTCCGCGACGCGCAGCCCCTCCCTGCTCGTCAGCCCTTGGCCCTTTCCCGTCGGAATGGCTTTCTCGCGGGTGACGAGCGACGGGCCGCGCCGTTGATCGATTGATAACCACTTTTCTACTCTGCGTACGTGTAAGAGGCGCGACATCGAGCGAGCGCCGATGCTCGTCTTGCCGCGGCTGCGCAACGATGAGCAACAGGCTCGCCGCGAGCTCCTTGGAGCCTCGAGCGCTGGACAAGCACGTTAACGGCGCTCCAGGCGAAACGGTCGAGGACGACGTTACGCGGCGCATCGAGGCCGAGCGTCCAGTCACTCGCATCCCAAGTCTGCCTCGTCCGGCTAATGTACCCACTCGCCTCTCGGGCACCCTCGGCCTACTGCTTCCCATCTTTCACTCGCTCTCCCCCTCTTCGCTTTCTTACTTTCCGCAAAGCTTTGCAACGCGCGTCATTAATCATTCACACACAAACAGCCCCGCATACGAACGACGTCTGCAAATCCCGCCGCTTGTCCCAATCTTCTTCTCCGTCTCGCTCGGCACCTGCAGCTTGGCCTTCGCGTCCGCCTCTGATTCGGCTGTTTCGCAGTCGCTCTGTGCCAATTACTCGATCGAGCTGCGATGCGATCGATGCGATCGGAGACACAAATTTGTCGGATGGAAAAGGGAAAACAACCCTCCGACTGTTCGCTTGGCCATCAAAACACTTACTTTGCCACTTATCGATTCACCTGCGCTATTGACGTCGTGCTTCTGTGCTGTGGCCGCGTCGGCGCGTGCATAGACAAACAGGAAAGGGAGAAAGGAACGAGAAAAACGCGCAAAACGGCACACACAGAGACGAAAAGTCAACGCAGAGCGAAAACAGAAGAAGGCAAGCGCGTGGGCATACGTGTAAATAAATGCGTCCGCGTAGATTTGGGACGAGACTTTGACGACACTAGCTATACCAACACGAAAAACACTAAAGGCAAGCGCATCAGACGACCATACCTATACACTTGAAGTCAAACGTTCGATATCAAGATGTTTTCATTGAACCTATCAATAATCACTAGACGAACATATGAAAACGATGTGAGTATGCAAACGTATGCAAACATTCGTATATATACACATTCTACAAATTCGATAGAGCGAGAATGACCCTCTCGAGAATACAATCGTTAACCTTTATTTCAACTTCAGCAGCGTCGCCTAACGTACTGTCACGAGTAGTCGCGAGACAAACAAAAACTAGTAGACAGATCTAAGCCGCGCAGACTCAAGATACACCGATCACGTGAATTTACAGTGCTGGAAACAAATAACGAAAGATCTATCGTAGACTCGATCGAAGCACCTGGGCGTCTTTAATAAAATTTTGACGAAGCCTTTTTCATAGTATATCTCTACAGTGCATTACTTCATTAACCGATTTTGGGGCCTACATGCAAAATAATTTATATTTTACATTTATCCATTCGTTTGTTCATTGCTTCTCTAGAAACATGCGAAAATCAAATAACGATTGAGTATACGGTTAAATACATAACAATCGTTGTGTTACTGCATAGTCGCTTCTGACGCACCAACACTCTAATGTTATTGCTTTTGATTTTTATACAGTCACACTAGTCCTTTTTTTAAACAGAACTTCATTTGGTTGGTAAGCAAATTATAAAATGTATTTTTAGAACAATAATTATTAAAAAGAAAACTATATCGAAAGATTTAACAAATGTTAGAAAAATTATTTTCAATACTAAAAAGAAATTGATTATCAAATAAACTACGCGCGCGTCGATCGTAGCAAAATAACAAATAAGTATATATTGAAATATTTCTGTAGACAAATGAAAAAGAAAAAAAATAGTAAAGAAATCTTAAAAATTTTATTTTTCGTACAAATAAAATATTTCGATCATGATTATAGTTGTCTAAAGTAATAATATTTCAGACTCATTCTTAATGAAAGAAGTAAAGATTAACGAGTTTGGTCGGCAAAATAATTTTCACACGCGCATTTTCTGTGTAACGATTGAAGCCAAGCCAACAAAACTTACATACACGTAAACGTTTCACCGATACACATAAAGTATATTTTAATAAATTAAATTACATTAAGCGATAATGTGTTGTTTGGTGTTTTCGCAAAAAATAAAAAATAAAAAAAGATTTCCTCATCTGAAATCGTGTTACAAAGCGTCATACGTATAGGTTGAAAATAATTTGAAACGAAGTAAAATCCACCGCGAGAAAAATGTCTGCATTCCCAACAAATTTCCGCGTCGTAGACACTGCGTCAGATTATTTAATATACTTTATTGCCTGTTTGAATGCATTTGTGAAACAATAGAAAGTAAAAATTGATTATAAAAGAATGACGCTTTCTTTAATAAATGGCAATTCGTTTATCTTACTTTTATCGGACCAATGATACCGTCAAACTAAAGCAAATGAAAATGTTCTTCTAAATTGAGTTTAAGCTTCGCAGTTTCGACTTATTTATCAAGTACGTGGGAAACTGTTTACAATGACGAAAGATAAAAAGTGATACGCGAACAAGTAATTGAAGCTGTTGAGCTTCGCTCGAAAGTCAATGAAATGTCCTGTTCGATCACTGTATTAACGCACTTATGTTTTCTCAAAGCCTGCATATTAAAAATAAAATGAAGAAAAAAAACATAAAAATAAATATCTAATGTGTGCTGAAGCGTTGCGATGAACAAGACTAGTAATAATAAATTATACAAGCTATAGCGAGAAAAAAAAAAGCATTGGCGGGAATACGATGGGAAAGAACGTGGGTGTGAAATTTGTTACCAATTTGCAGAGTAACTGGCAGCCATAGTGAATATAAAAATTCTCGCTATTGAATGTAATAAAATGATGGCAATTAAAGAAAGTAGGCAATGCCAGAGAATATGTAGATGTTGCGCAAGTAATACAGTTATAAGCAGAGGTTTGCGGTTCGGCGAATGATGAATAATAAGTGTGAGATGCAAAAAATATGACATAGCTGAAGGCATTAAACAATCGTTAAAGTGTTGAAATGTACGCGATGGAAGTATTTCCAATATTAAATTATATAAACCATTGTAATACACGAACGCACACATGCACACATTAATAAGTAACACAAGCATAGATACGAAATATGTACGTACTACATTGATGCTCATCGCACCGCAGAGAACACGCTCGAGAAGTGAACAAATAATTTTAAACGAGAGACAGGAAAACTGACGGAAAAATTATAAGTATGATGCAGAAGTTACTTGCGTTATCGAGAATAAATAAATATATAAAATAGAAGAAAACATTAACATTTACAGAGCCACGGAGGAAATAAATTTATTTATATCGCGCGCGGATGACGTGCGCGTAGATCAGATATATATGCATAGAAAATTAAAGTGCATAAAAACTGTCGAGAGAGAGAGAGAGAGTAGTCGAAAAGAAATAGAATCAAATTTTCGCGAGATAACAGTATAAAAAAATTATTAAATATAAAAAAACTATTGAACAAAAAATATACATGCATAAAAAGTATTTTTACTAATGTTAAGTGTACTTCATGAAAAACTGGATTGAACGACATTAAATTTCGTTTCATCTTATCTCGCGACAAGTTCAAATATACACATTATTTAAAACTGTATATCTTTAGCTTTTGTGATGCGGAGATCAAGGAAATTCATTACGATTTTGATAATAATTGACAATTACTATGACCTATGGAATGGTAGAATCGAGTAATTGTTCAACAAATCGATGGGATTCCTTTTATCTCTAATTTACGACTATTTTTATTTTTTAAAATGAGCATTTTGAAAATTTACCGACATAAGAATAAAAAAAGTTCGAATTTCTCCATTTTCGCCGCCTTGCAGACTATCATATTACCATTTATGCACTTATAATCGATTTTTCACAAAAATCCGAGGGAACGTTTTTAAGAAGAACTGAGTTCCACATTAATATGAATAATTTTCGAGCTGTTCTGTATGCGAAATATTGCAAGCGCGCCTAACACGTGCTGAATAACGTTCAGTTGCAAATGTTAATTGTTATTGAGGAAAATTTCAATTTCAAGTTTGGTACAGCTCATTTGTTTTGATTATTCTCGTAGTTCTGAATTTGCCAGCAAGCTACATTTTAAATACCAAACGATGCGTTGTCTTAGACCGCGAGAAATAACTTTCCAGTGGGAAATCTTTTCATGTTGCAACCAAAGTTCGATGATTCTATAAATAAACAATTATATTCTTGACCGATTCGTTATAACTGTATGGAAGCATATAGAGAGAGAAAAAAAACAGTGGCGAAACCAAGAACAAAGTTAACGAAAAATTAATGAATATTCTTGAGGAATGTGTATTTTGAGACTTATTGTACAGTTTAAGTACGGAAGGATAGTAGATATGTGTATATATATAAATATACTTATTACTATTACAATGATTACTATTAATTACATGAAAATCATTATTATTGTATTTATTATAATTATTATTAAATGGTTGGAAGCGAATTTATGGACTTCTACATAAATTTAAGTCAATTAAGATACAAACTCGTCAAGTTTCCATCTACCTCTTACATCTAGCCGACGTACATTTGGCCTTGTAAGTGTTCTGTCCATGATTTCTTGTTGACTAAACTTTGCAGAACACTGATGTATTGTTCTTTTTATATTCGTCATCAAATTCGATCGATAATATGACAAAACAAAAAAAATGATCTAGTGTTTGCTTTATTTTAATTGAATTGATTTAATGAAAAGCGATTATACAAAGCTGGAAAGTCTGATATCAACTTATCTCTCTATTTTCAGATTTTACATTCATTTTCTTCCACACTTTTCGGATGCACTGATGAATAAATTATTTGCAATAATTACCCTTAAAGTCAAGACTACTTGTAGCCATGAAAGTTCCATCAAACTTATGTTTCTTGTTTTAGCTTAAAAACTTGTCTTTTTCGTTGAATCTATTGAAACATCCTTATGAAAAAGTGATGATAAACTTGAGTTCTAATAAGTTCTAACGACAGTACTATCCGGAAAAACACAATGTAATTAACATGTGTGAATTATTTCCAGCTCTGACGATCCAACAAACGAGCGACCTACTTATAATTTTTGCGTATCACGTAATGTACAATCGTATAATATTATGATATACGTAAGGTGGGAGTGTAATTCAAGGTTGTTAGTGAATAATTCTGAAAAGCGCAAACGCGAAGCGACGTTATGTATAAAAGATATAAAACGAATCGCAGGAGGCTGACATTTTTAATTGCTTTGAGGATTACTTGAGCAAGAAAAGACAACCAATAACACTAGTTTTTCTTTCTTTCGTTTATTGTACTTGATAGACTTTTTTTACCAAAAATGTTACGTTATCGAGCGTATGTATGTTACTTTTAATGCGTCTTTTGTTATTTTGAAAACCATTATTGTACTTATTACAACTGTATAACGATAAGCTAAAATGTTTATAGTTTTTTTTCATGTTGTAATCTTATAAAGTCTATATAACTTAATTACAAAATGTGATATCTAAGCGATATCATTCTTTGTTAAATCTTATATAATCGACAAAGATACTTTCAACGACTGAAACTGTTTTTTCATCTGTATTTCTTTGATCATATAGTACATCGACAATCGTCATAATCGTCATTACTTAATATTATTACTGTAATTTTCATTCATTATGATGGATTATTACCGTTATTGTGATCTAATAATAATAAAATAATAATAATAGCTATTATTGTTAAAATACCATGGAGTATCCAAAGTCTTGACAACCCAATACTGTGAAAAAGTTATGTATACAAAACTACGAAAGAGATTATGAAACACGTATGAATTTAGGTATGAACAGGAAATAAATAATGTCATGCTAATTCATTTGTACTCAATTCATTACTTTCAGTTATAAAATTTTCGATGATTTAAAGTGAAGTTGTAACAACAAGAGCCTAATAGGAATTAAGACAGAAGTGTTTCTAATTGGTCAATAATGAATTCATCTGCGACAATCACTGAAGCTACTCTACATCTTGCGTAATTTTTATTTGAAACTATAGCGTGTCAACATCTACAGATAATTGAAGATCTCCATGTAAGCCTAATAAATGCAATTCTCAAATTGGTTCACTGCTTTATTAAAATACCAGTATTCAATAAAAAATGAAGAATGGAGCCTTTTCAATTATTGATGACAACTCACTTGAAGCTTTTGTAATTAGATTGATAATACGTTTCAATCCAAACCGGCTGTTATCTGTTTCAACAACAGCTTTTTGGATTTTTTATTCCGAGCGTAATGTCATCATGTCAAGATGCCTCACCTTTCTCGTATTAACAGTGGAATGTGAAAATAGAGATGTAAACATTGAAGTCTAATTATCGTTGGATGTAGGTTGTCGGCAGAGAGACTGGTATAAAAATAGGATTGAAGTTGACGAAAGATTGAAGCGCATAAGTTTGCTTGGGGCAGCTTTAGTAGAAAAGTGAATAATCGCACATAGTGGGCACAACTTGTCGAAGTGCAGTCTACGCGCTGTTTGATCTAATAAAGCAATTGAACGGTTAACAAGCAGAGCGAAAGCGAGGGGTGCAGGAAAGAAAATAACACCTCTGGCTGCATAACAACACGATGGAGATAAAAAGAGTAGAGCTGCTAGAAATGGAGGCTTTTATTTACCCGGCGGCGCAACGCAGGCGGCGCAGCTCCGTCGGTGTTAAGCCGCAATCGATAGAAAGAGGGAGAAAAGCTAAGCAATGACGGTCTATAGAACGATGTGGCCCGTGCAGGCGTGATGGGCTTGCGGCCTGGCCAAGGCGCGTGTAGTCCACTTACAGACCAAGTGCACACGCTATAGCCCCCCCCCCCCCCTCTCTTGTTCGACCTCTACGTTCGTCTCAACGCCCAACACTTCTCTACCTTATTTATTTAATATGCTTAACTCTCTCTCTCTATCTCTCTCTCTGCGAACCACACGCTTTTCGTTATTTATTATTCATACCAAATGTTCGCACCATTCGCACATCATCAAGCATCTTCTTCTACCCTTTCTCTTCCCTGTACGTTTAGTTGACCCAACAGCAACTAGAGCATTCGCGCAGATGGACCAGCAATCGAGCATGCAAAGATAAAGCAGCCGTTGGAATCGCAGTTGACAATGAGTACAATATGTAGCTGCAATAGCACAAAGAATCGGTTGTACCGTTGCAGAGTAGTCTAGGTTTCGCGTTTACCAGCTAGGCTTAATTCATCGATCGCCGACAGCATAGCCTCAGCCGGCGATAAACTGGTAACCGATAAGGGAGTCATTTATATTATTCACCGTTGCTTTGCTGTACGCGTGCTATCGCATATGCAGTTGCGCGTTGTGTTGCTCAGGTTGGCGGACTGTAGCACACGTCACTGAAGTGCTCGGAGAGCACAAAGCCAAACCAACGCAGACAATGAGAATACAGTAGTGATGCTCGTATTTGGTCAGACAATATGCTCTCTGTCAGCTTGTTTTTATTCCTCTTCATAAAGACGAAGCCACGCGCTCACTGCTGCTTTCTCTCTCCCCTCGGAACTTTTTCAACTAAATACATATAACCTTTCCTCGGAAATAGCTTTCTCGCTCTGTTTGTCCAGCCGATTTCCAACGAAACAATGTCTTTAGTTTTACTCCTGGAACTTCACTCCGCTTTCTTGCTGAAAAGGACTATTAAAGATTAATGCGAGACAATGATTCTACACGATTCTACGTGTAATAATTTATTTTTATTCACCTTTGATTTCTAAATAATCAGATATAATACTTAATATTTACATACACATACAGTTATATTCGCTGCAGAGTACAACGTTCTCTATGTATACGAGTTACTGTTATTCATATAATAATAATAATAATCATACCGTTATAGAACATTCGCAGCTACATCTCATTTAAATATAACCATCAAACTCATTTTTTATACGTATCATTGTAATATTTTTTTTCGTTTTGTAAATATTTTTTTTCTCGCCTGTGGTCATTAATAACTATATATATCATTTCTAAAATTCAAGGTTAACGCGTCAGTGCGTTTGACACGCTGGGCGCCAATGAACCCTTTGTCCTTGCATAGACTCGCGTACTTATACATACACGTGCGTACGACTGATGACAGAGCGTGAATCGTGCGTGCGTTCGCCTGTAATTTCTGGAATCATCAATTGTCCCTTTGTGTCTGTGGCCACATTAGCCAGGCCGTATACACACCCGAGGGCGTTCTTTGCACGAATTTTCGCGAAGCATAGAAAAACGTTATCAAAGCGTTCAACTATCATTAAGTGGTTTTATCTCTTCTACTTGACTGACTGTTTGCTTGGTGTTGAAAATAAATGTGACCCGGGCTAAAATTGCTAGAAAACAAATGATCAACGACTCTTGGACGTGGAGTGTATCGATTGAAATTCATTTCTTGAAAATTCAACTTCATTTTGCGTCCGCTTGCCGATAAATAAAACTCAACGCACTGACGCGACAGAATTTCTCGTTTGCTAATGAAGCTATTGGGCGCTTCTGCCCACGGTGGTAATAATTAATAATCATTTTATCTATTTAATCATCTTGTGTGCTGATCAAGTATTCAATTTACAATTGTTTGTACTTTATTGAACCGAAAGAATTTGATTGTCGATAAGATAGTTTTGTTCGTTTTCACGGATAATTGCGACAAGTAATACTGTACAATTAGCTTTATCGAGCTCGCACGACTCGCCTCTATGAATGCGCCTAACCAAGAAGCTTTTCAGAAATGTATATGCGCAAAGAGCGATTCCGATGTCGCTGCGCAGTGAAGCAACTGAATATGAAAAGCTGGCTTCTAATCGTTGCAGCACGTAAGTGTTATCCCAAGCTAAGCACGCAGTGTAAGAGTAGTTATTAATCCAGCACGATCGATAGTCGTGCGATTGATTGGCCTCTACCACTAGAGTAAATGCTTTTGCTCGAGTGATCTACTGATCTGTTCAACAGTTGGACTTTTCATATAAGTTTTCATATTTTGTACACGATGACGCAGCAGCACTAATACACCATAATCAGCGAGCTTGAAGCTTCAAGCTGGTCGCTAGGCGATGTATAAACAATATAGTACATATAACGAAGACAAGGTCAACGATCAAGACTTTGGTTGGCTCTTAAACATTAAACGTATTGTCTTACATAAGACGAACAAAAATATACATGTGTATTCTCGTAAAAGTATACCCGTAATCGGCCAATTGTCTGGTTCAATCAAATTGCAGTCGTACCAAAAGTGCAACCTCACGCGAGCAGACACGCGAGACGCGTGTATCGCTAGTAAAGCTGATAGAGCTCATCGTTCAATTACGCGATATTAGACCGAGTGTTGCTGCTCGAAGAACATTATCCGATCAGGAGTGTAGTCGAGAAGTTGCGCTTTCCATACAGGCTGCACTCGTTATGTAGGTGTATATATAGTCTATATATTCTGTATATTCTGTATATGCATATCTAACATTTGAAATTTCTACTCAGTTATATCACAAGCATTTTTAGATGTGGTGTTTGAAATACAATATGATTGTAAGTGTAAAAGGTGGCTCGACGGCAGCGAGCTGCCAATGCGTAACAACGGAATTTCGCTGGCAGCCACCTCGCTCGAGCCCATTTAATAGACTCTGTTTAAGTACTGGCGCGCACTTGGTTACAACAAGCAGGCGCCCGCTATCCGCTCTAGCAATGAAAAACAGGACAAGGTAGGTAATGTGCGCTTGCAAGCGAGCAAGGCGAGCTCATCGAGTGCGGATAAATGCGTGGAGCGTGCCGTCGTGCGTACAAAGGACCGGGCCGCATTGTTAAGACACGCCGCCGCGGGACGGCCGACTAGCCAAAGGGAAACCAAGCGAACGCTTCGGCGGAGAGGGAATCCGAAGCTGCGCGATCGATATCAATGTACCAGCGGAGCTTTTCCCGGCGCGACCTAGCCTCGGATACTAGCTGGCGAAAAATGGCTCGCAACAAGGCCGCGCAGCAACGCAGCAACCTACTTTGTTTTGGTTGCACCGTAACCGTATTATACTTCGGCCGAGCTCGGTGCCGACAGCCCGCGAGAAGCGACCGTACGGCTTGCCGTCGCGATGCCGGTGTCGGGCGTCAATCTCGAGATTGCCGATGGGCTGGCGCGCGAGCGAGATCCCACCAGCGACAGCCTCGGCTCTGCCAATTGAATTTTCGATCGGCCGATAGCTGCGCGTGTCTGCGAGAACTCGCGTCTTCGCGGCTTTTTCTCGTCGCCTGCCACTCGGCTGGCGCGGGTTTTAGCCTGCATATCTGACCGCGCTAGTGAAGCCATCGTTATTCGTGCACCTACCGACTGCAATTTTATCGACGTTAATCGATTATTTTCGTCCGGCGTGGCGTTGCTGCCAGCTATATCTGTGTCCCCAAACTTTGCAGCAGCGGCTGGCGGAATATTCACGAGTCATTGATTCGAAGCCGTTTCGTAAAACCTGTCCGAATGAGAATGCATTACTTTTAGCACACGAGGCAGAGTTCCTCCGTCTGCTACAAGTCCACAAGTACACTCGTCGAGTTGGCAAAGTCAAAGGTTTAGCGAAGCAGCATACGTAGCGTTTGCCGAATAATCGGCTTAACGTTAGGGAATAAGCGCGCGAGGAGCTCGGGAGAATCACCGTAATTCAAGTCTGCCTCGCAGGCATCAAGCCCGCAGCAGCTTACCTACCCCGTGCGTACGCCGCAACCTCAACCAGCCATACTTCTGATAGCGCCAGCAGCAGTCGTTTCACGATAAACGATAAAACTCTTTTCCGTTCGAAAAAAAACTCGAGAGCCATCGCTTTACGACACCTTTTCCCACCGTATACATCATCCTCTTCCTCGTCGCGTAACTTCAAAACTGCGAGCAACACCCACAGCTATATTATTCTCGTGTCTGGCCAAACTTCGATCTATACTACTTGGAGCCACGCGCGTATCGCACTGGTGGCCTTTCTCGCGCGCATTTCGCTGGCATAATTGCCCGCCTCGCTTTCAAGGGGCACGCGGAAGGGAGAGCTTTGAGTGCACTTCGCGTGGATGATGTATGGACATTCTGATATATTGAGAGCGGCGAAACGACGGGGAGAGGGAGCCGATGGCCATGGCAAAAAATAGCTCGGCGGACGCTCGGCGGACGCTCGGCGGACGTTCGGATCTATTGGTTTCGCTGAACAGTCAATGTCACCTCCAGCGCAGCGACAATCCGCTCAACTATTCGAGCCCCGATGTCCGGCTAATCAAGCTGCAGCTCATCGATAAGCTACCTGCGCTAATGTTTCATCGAGCCCGACAGCACTGTCTGCTTTTCGCCCAGTTTCTTTTCCGCGCTGCTTCTCAAAGCGCTGCGCCCGTCAGCTAAACAAAGCGAAACGTACAGTTGCATTCTGCGAGCTTCCAGTCTGCCATTGTTATTTCAAAAAGTCAGCTCAAAGGCCGTGAAACTCCATGATGGAATTGCAAAAATCGTCGAGCTCGTTGAAACGAGAAGCTTGTCCAGTTAAATCAGTTGAAATTGCTGATGGCTCGCGCATATCGGTTGTTCTGTCTGACGATAAGACCTTAGCGAGTCAACGAATCACAGGGTAGCCGTGGTTGAGCGCATGTTTTATCGAAATAATTCGTCCACAAAGTCGGCTTATGTATGGAGCGTTGGAGAGCAGGACAAACGAAGATGAGCAAACGCTGAAACGGTTGTGACACTGCGAACGCAGGTGTGAGTGATGAAAATTACAGCGGAAGGCTGGTGGCAGCGCATCCTAGTGGCGCGACAATTTTAAAATCACGTCTGCACCGAGGACGCCAATGCACACACCCACAGAATTATAATGAATTATGAGTGCACGCAAGTTCACTTGGCAAATGAGCTCCCAAATTGCGTTTGCATTTGAGAGGACCATTTGACAGAGACTCCCTCCTCCCCTCCTCTCTCTCTCTCTCTCTCTTTCTCTCTACACCTTTCCTCTTGTCTCGGCTACCCGCAGCTACGTCATGCCGGGTTCGACCTATCCTAGTTAAACTTGTATCTACATTGTTTACTTTTCAAGGATCGTCGCTCGCTGTAAACACTAAAAAGCCCGACAGGCAAATTTGCAGATTTCATTTACAAGCCGACATTTGAATATGTGAAAACGATGGACCTCAAATGGACAAACGAGTTGCGCCTGCCTCGGAAGAAACATCTTGTCCGATACACGTCTACGAGTGCATTAGAAGAGACAATCAAGGGATTACGACATGAATATTAAAATGCGTTTGCCGAAGAATAAAAATGAGCTCTCGCGGCTAGCAACTTTTGTAGTTGAGGTGGATTCTCGGTGCGTCTTAGTCGGCTCAGGACCAAACTGAATATTCAAGTGGGACTTGTGAGCGTAGCAAAAGCTTGACACTGGCGTCTCTTCAGATGTGACCGCGTTATTCCACCTATATACGTGGATTTGGCTGTTGCCGTTCGCGCTCCAATCAAGCTGCCGTATTTTGAGTGCGTTGATGAATAACAGGCGAGTGTTATAGCGTTGAGCGTGGCGCCCGATAAACCTCGTTCTCTCGCTCTTTCGCTCGGTGGCGAATGATAAAATACATTTGCCGACAAGCGCAGTAAAATGGGCGAGTTTGTCGAGTGACAAACAGCGCGCTACGTGACTGCCATGCAGCGATAAACCGTAGCTTCTGCAAGCAACGATCTCATAATTTTCGACTAGTTTCTTTTAGACAATACCTAAACAAGGAGTTTCAATGGGAGTTTATCCGAATCCTCGAGAGGCTTTGATGCAAAACTTGACTAGAGCCCGAGTTTGGCACAATTGCGCCGCTAAACTATAGTTAAGAAGGCAAGTTTGCCAAGGATGCAGGAAAACAAATGGAGAGCCTCATTGAGGACTAATCGAAAAGTAAGCTTAGGCGAGGCGCGGACGTTGCATAAGCTTGGCGAGAGCGCTTTCACTCGCGGTCGGATCGTCGCAGGGGAAACAGCTGCTAGCGACAGATTGCCTCGAACAAAGACGCCTCCTGTTCAGCTCCGGAGATTCGCATTTTTGGCGCGTGTCGCGTGTGCGGCCCGCGTCTGCGCGGGCACGCGAGGCGCCTCCGCGAGTGGACGCGCAGACACGGAGCAGCGACGCTCGTCGACAGGCGCGCGAGCCCCTCAAGCCCGTCGGCGGCATTGATTTTCAAAGCGCTGCGGGCGCACTCGACGGATTATTCCCGACGCGCAAACAACGCTCTGTCTGTCTGGCCCGTTGTTCCCGATACAAGCTTGGATGACGCCCGCAAAGCTTCCGATCGATAGTCGCGCGCGGCACGAGAGAAGCGCACGGCCCAGCGGGGCTCGGCTGCCGGCCTGGCGAACGACACAGCCCTTGTGGCCCTTCGCTCTGCCAAACGACATCCAGTCTCCGCAGGCTGTCCGCCTAGCTCACCTGTTACTGCGCTCGCCAGGCTCCTTCCAAATATCGCCAGCTCCTCCGTCGCTTCTAAAGGTCTTGCAAGTCGTTGGGCAAGAACGATGCCAAAAACATAAAACAGGGTTCAACGAATCATTGAGACCAGCGGCGAATCGACTGCCTAAGGTGAATTCTCCTTGCGATTGCTGGCGCGCAACGTCAGTAGTGGTCGGGTTTGCTCGTTTCAAATCGATTATCCGTTCCGTCGCTCGGCAGCAAAGGTAGCCCCACAGCGCAGATAATGCTTGCCCAAATAATCATTAAGTCGACGAGGCCGCGCGTGCAGCGTGAAATAGAGCCGCTTTTCATCGCAAATCACTCGCAGACCGTAACATTAGCTCGCACCGCTGTCAATTAAGTCAGTCGCGCGACTCGACCAATGGCCTAGCGACGACGTTCCCTTCAATTATTCGTTTGCGCTCTCGATGGCCATTCGACTACATCGAACGCGAGCAATTACCAGTCCGAATGCGATTATAATTCTTTTTTTCCATGGCCTCTATCTCCTTTCTCGTTAACAGCAGCTTACGGGACGCCTCTCTGTGGATCGACCACGCGCTGATACGGGTTCCGAAAATACCACTTTGCCCGCGTTACTTCCTGCTAGTTCAGCTCCGAACACTTTTTTTCGTTATTTCAAGAGCGTCGATTCATTTTCATTTTACCACGGCAATCAACTTGAAACCCATTTACCCATCTACCCGCCTACCTATCTACTCGAATATCAGTGCGGATTAAATAATATCCCAGGAAGGCTGACAATAAACGAACGGTTGATGTGTTTCGAATATCGAAAGAAAACACTACGAATAGTTTGCTTTTAAAAACCGCAAAACATTTTGGAGTGCAAATATGAATTGCCAACCGCAATAATTAACTTAATTTTCACGAAGTACCTGAAATAAAAAAATCTAGAGAATCTGTGAAAACTTGTCTTTCTAGGCGCGGCGTGGAGACCGCAGGAAACTCTGTAATAGCTCTGGCTTAACGAGGCCGGCTAGCGCTACTGACGACGAAATTATTATAGGAAGAGTGATTTCCGCGGCGAGCCGTAAGGGAAGGATTTACTTGCCGCTTCAAACCCTCGCTCTAATAGTTCAACCTACATCAATTAATACCGTTCTTAGGTGCCACGGCATGTACAATTTTATTTTTGTATAATTTCATTCAATATATATAAAATGACACTCGACTGAATTTTTCGGATTTATAATTTACTTTGCCCTGTCTCTGCCGGGAATGCCACGAAAAACTGTAAAACGGCGTGCTACAAACGTCGTCAAAAGGTGTATGCAAAAAGCTGCTTCGTATGTCGACGAAAGAGTAAATACCTTCATTCAATTTTTTTAAACAAACACTACTCGACGGAGGAAATCCTCTGTAAATAATAAAATTTATGTTTCGGAATAGTTGGCTATACGAGTGGATGTAGAGGTTGCGATTGTCGAGAAACGGACTTCCAAGTTATTTTTACGTAGCACGATAAACCGCCCTCCGGTGACAAATTCAATTTCCAAAGGCGAATTATCCTCGGAAGATAAATTACAAACAAAGTAGGAAGTATAGTTTGGAAGTACAATGAGCTTCGAATGGAGCCGGGCGTGTCCTAAGCAGCATTATGATTTCAAGGGGAGAAAGTTTGCTAAAAGCGCGCTGCATTTGTGTTCCACGAAATTATCTGCCAACCGATCTTCGGTTACCCAAACTAAAATCCAAACTGAATCCCGGCGTCCTTGTCGCGCGGGCGGTCGTTGAAACAGAGAAAAGGAAGAAGCCGGTAATCCAAGCTTCGTACGGATGGACGCGCACCGCAGCACCGCGGATGCGTTTGAGCTTAGAAGGCGTCGGCGGCGCTAATCTGTGAATCTATGGCCGGAGACCCGCGCCAAAAGAGACGCATCGACGAAGAATTTTGGGTCGCGGGCTGGCGGACACAAAAGGCCAGCGAGTCGCGCTAAACGGAATCCACTCTAATTAGGGGAGCCGCGCGCGCGCGCGCGCGCGAAAGGGCTGCTGGCTGCGAGGGCACGTCGAATACTACAGAGAACGGGCCGAAGTCAAAAGTCGCAAGATTAAACGCGACGGTTCTTTTGACGCTGCCGCCTTTGTCGAGCCATTGTTCATCTTTCTCTGACCGCAAAAACACGCTCTCCTCGCGTAATCCCGGCAAAGTTCACGCACCGCACCGTCGTCTTTGTCTTCTCCATTCGCAGCTAATTAGCGTCATTTGTCTTACTCGGCCCCATTAACGCCTGTCGGTAGCGGCGTTAATGGCTCCCCTTCTTCCTCCTCGTCTTTCCCCCCCTGTGCCGGGCTTTCCTAGTCGAGACTGCAAGCGCGACGCCATGTTGGAGAATGGAAAAACTGGCTGCTCCCCGCTGCAAGATGCACGCCCCCCGTCTTCACGTACATAAAGCGCTTGCGCCGACGATAGAGAGATGTTCGTCTTGACCATTGTTCCCTTGAAATACGCTCACGACAAGCGCACGGAGAACGAACCGAGCTACAGCTTCTTCTGCGTGGCATTGCTGTCCAAAATAATGGAGAAATGCAGGGGCGCGCGCGCTTCATTTTTCACTTGGTCCCCGACTCGGTCGGTCGGTCGCTCACCCGCCCGCCTCTGTGCATTCTAATTCCTAGCTCTCCTTCCCTCTTTGTCTTTGCAGCTGGCTACGAAATTCGTCTGGCCGGTAGCGACGTCGCGCGCAACGAGCATATTTCGCTGGGCTCCGTGTTGCTTGCGCCAGCCTCGTCTATCCGGGCCGCGGACCGGCCGATCCGATGCGCTCTCGCCGATGGAACGATCGATTCAGCGGGCCGTCTATTCTCGGATTAAAGTACTGGTCTCGAGCGCGGGCCCGCGCGCTTCGAAGCGGGCCGTGGGCGCTCTAGTCGCGGGCGAATACGAACTCGTTGTAGTGGTTCCAGCGGTTCTCCTCGAGGTCGACGCCGGGCTTGAGCTCGGCGGTGGCGCCGCCGGCCGTGCCGCTGCCGCAGCTGGCCAGCAGCCGGAAGCCCTGCTCCTGCAGCATGTCGAAGGCTTGCTCGATGAAGGTGTGCTTGAGGAAGAAGCGCGAGGTGTAGCGGTCGCTCACGCCGTGGTCGGGGTCGCGGCTCTCGTTCAGCGTCTCGCCGAACACGTCCCGGCAGAGCGCCACGCGGCCGCACACCAGGATGCGCGACAGCTTGCGAAACTGCACGTCGGCCAGGCCCTCGCGGCCGAAGGCGAAGCTGCCGCGGTAGCCCACCGTGATGAAGCCCCGCTTCTGGCCCTGCAACAAACCGGCCGCCCCGTTAGTCGGCCTCGTCGCCTTGTCACGCGCAAGCGCGGCTGTCCCTGCTCCTCGCCCCTCGCCCTTCGCCTCTCGCCATCGAGCCACCATTGTTCCTGCCCCGAAGCCGACGCTGCGCTTTCTTTCGCTCTTTACTTTTCTCTGCCAAACGGACTTGTTGGACTTGCGAACGGTAGTTCGACGCAGCCGGTAGACCAAAGCGAACGACGGCAGTGAAATGCGCGGCATTCGGTCAAACGGAGCGGATGGCCCGCGGAAACAACTTTGCGATCCGGAGAGCTCGTTACCCACGCGCTCGGCTCTGTCCCGCCAGTTACCGCATATTCAAGCATAGTAGTCACGGACGAGCAAAGCGCTAGTCGTCTGCTTGTACGATGCCATAAACTCACACGGAACGCTGACTCGCTAATTGAGATTTATCGCGTCGACAGAGCAGCCAGGCTCGTTAAAAATATCCAGATTCGATTATTAATCGTGCGACGGTTGAAAGCTCTATATCCGTCCTAGGGCCTTAAGCATTTTACAGCCTGGCGTATCGTGGCTGTTGTTCTGTACACACGTACGCAGCCTTTCTCGCTGATACATGAGCGCTCGCTTGAACAATTTAACACAGAAAAATTTTAACGCGACAAACGAAACAGACGCGCGAAACTTTTGATAAGTTAAGCAACCGTCGTCGAAGATGATGGATGCGTTGGAAGGCGAGGTAGGCCGCGGCTATGAGAGCTGCGAGGCACGTAAACAGATGATAACGGGGCGAACGTAGGAGATCGGAAGAGGGAGCGAGCAGTTGGCCTGGCCGCCAGTAAGACAGATAGCTATCTGATATCTGGCGTCGCTTCCGACTCTGGCACAGCATCCCTACTACTCGCTCGACGACTGGCACTCTCCTCTCCTCCTCGCATCGGCCTCGAACCTTATTTCCACCGGACCACCGACAGAGACAGGCGCAGCCAGCTACCGATGCTTCGCGCGCCCCTCCAAACTTGTTTTACTCGCGACTCCGTTTCAGCGCCCTACACCCGCTGCCACCGACGTTCCACTTTTCTTCCTTTCCCTTTCACTTGCCTTTCAATCTAGTCGGCTTACGCGCCAGCTCACGCGCTCGTATTGTTGTTCCCTCTGCAAGACAGCCACACGACTCCAATTTGCCGTTGACTGCTGGAAGCGATTCGCGAGCGCAGCCGATATCGCCGTAGAAGAACGACCTCCAGAGCCCAATAAACCGCGTCTGCTCTAAGATCACTCGCTAATAAGCAATCGATAAATCGACCGATACGGGCTGCGCGACGATAATCAATAGATCAGCTAAGCGCAGGTGCAATTTAGCGAGGCTTTCATCCGCGAGAACAGCACGGTCGATAAGGTATTCAATGTGGACGGGAAAAATTGTTGGGACAGGACGGCTCATTGGCGATCGCGCGCGGACAGGGTGAGCTAGCGTCTGCTTTGCTCCCGCGCCTCGGACCTGCTCTGCCCGACGAGAAACCAATGCTTCTCGCGCGTCGATCCTTCGAGCGGCGAAAGGCCTTTCGCACTGGACGTCTTGGCAGTCCGAGTGCAAGTAGGGCTGATTCTTCGACAGACGCGAAAATCGTTAGTAAGAAATTAGAATGGAAATAATTTCAAGTGGGCAGCAGCAGAGAAGCTCCCGTAGTACGACTTTCGCGTCTATTGGAGAATGAGCGTAAGAGTAGCGGCGAGCGTACCGTGGACATGACGGAGACGCGCTCCGGCGGCGAGTCCTGGATGGCCCTCTGGAGGTTGGCCAGTCCGTAGAAGTTGGCCTCCTGCCTGAGCCGCTCGCGCTCGCGGAAGCCCTCCGGTAGCACGAGGGCCTGGTTGCGCAGGAAATCGAGCACGTAGCGGAAGAGCACGCCGTCGCGGTCCAGGAAGTACTTGCCCTTGGCGTCGCGCTCGAGGCTCAGCTTGTCCCGGAACAGGCCGGCCAGGTGCGAGTCGGCCTCGCGCGTCAACGTGCTCAGACCCGTCGTGTAGAACACGCCGCCCACGTTCAGCTCGACTACGCCGCCGCAGCCCGCTGCGCCCTCGTCGGCCTGAGCCTGGTCGGGCATCTCCGGGCCTCGGTCGGCTGCTCCTGCTCGGGGCTAGCGGCTTCCAGCTCCGCCGACCTGCAACCAAGCCAAGCCCATCACCAGCGACTCGTCGACTCGCTTCTCCGTCTCCCGGCTTGCGCTGGCTGACGAGCCGACGAACCCATCAGCGCGTTTCCACTTCGACTCCTTTCCCCGAAAACCCCCTGCGAACGGCCGCCCGCGGCTTTCGCTCTTTCATCTTTGACCATCCTCAATTAGCCTCGTAATCAGCTATATTTCGCAGCTACCGCTCACAGCAAATGGCTACTAACGGAACTTTCCCCAAATTCACCCTTAATGCCATGCGAAATACCGTCGATAACAATTTTTTCCCTCGAGTCTAACACGTTTCAATCAACGTACTTTGTTGAGTCGATCTCGATCAAGACTCCATCTCAAGACTCTCTTTCTCTGCATTCTCTATTTTTTCTATTCACTGTGATAGATCTATTAGAGATCTATAATTTTGATACGTACAATCGGGGATGATGATTAATCGACATTAATAATTTCAAATAATATCAACTTTGGCTAGCTAGAATTTCTAATCACCAGAATCCGTTATAATGCCTTATTTATTATTTTTGCAAAAAAATATCTCCACAGTCAAGTCACGTTAACGTGGAAAACGATAACGTAATCGATAGGAGCGATTGCGAAGAAAGAGCAGGCTGAGGTTCGATTAGAACGGATGATATCATAGAAATGGAAGAGAATGATTAGGAGTTTAAATCAGTTATAGTTTCGGAGCTCGACATAATTGCTATTAAACGATGAAAAGAAATATTAAAGTAATGCGATGAGTGACTCCAAACATCAAATATGTAAGAACGCTTATAAATTAAATATTAAAATTTAAGTGCTAATATCAAAAAATATTTCGAAACATGTAAATTTTAAATTCAAATGTGAAACGACCTCGAGCTGCTTTCTTAAGACTATTTTTATACCCTCTTCTGTCTCATAAAATGTAAAATATACAAGAACAGTATAGGATCAAATTCAATAAATGTGCCGCAGAAGAGCTTTGTCGGATAATAATCATTACATTTGCTAAGATTATGCATGTATGACGTGCGTATGATACATCACGAATCAAAATTTTATGATAATCTAGTGCTCTAAATATACGCGCATTAGGAGAAAGTGTTTTGTTCTTGATTTTGAAAAAAAAGTGGATGGTATGGTAACGTCAATTGAAAATGGTTTTACAAAATAGTTGAAAATATGTAAAAAATTAATGTCGTAGATATGATAAATATTATCTATGAAAAATTAAGTATTAATGGTATTGGCTTAGTTGTATAAAATTATGAGACAAGCACATAAATATTTATATCGTGTTGTTGAATCCAATAATTCGATCAATTATGAATCCATACATAAAACGTGTAACGGCAAAATGTATTTCGTTAAAAGATTTAACGGAAAATAAGGAAAATTAAAGCTTTAATCCTTTACTCTTGTATTAATAAATTGAATTTGAAATAAATTTATGGTCTATTTCCCTGTTATTGCAAAAATGTGATACAATGTCCATATAAGAATAACATGTGACCTTCTTGCTCATATATTCAACGTTGTTTTTGAGAGTGTTAGATAAATACTAGATCGAGCATACTTGCAAATGAAGCAAGACTAATTTGAAAGTTCGTCTTTCAGAACGAAACCACTCTTAGTCAAACCAGTCGCAACATTTTCAAGATATACGCTAGCCAATTGAGTTTTTGGTTAAATTCCGTACCTCCTCCTTTTTTCAATTTAATAAAATTTATGTTAAAGTCTTAATGCTATTATCCAGCATTTTGAATCAGAACATGCTTTTTACTCATCACGATTTCAAAAAGATCTTGAGAAAACTATTTTTAATTGTAAGATTTCATTGAAATATCATCATTTAATTCTTTACACCGTGCCTATCTTTGAATAAACAGTATTTGAATAAACAATATAAGCAACTTTTGTTAGGATTTATTGAACTATTTTCCGAAATAAATAATAAAATGAACGAAAACATGATAAAAAATATATAATAATACTATCATGAGAAATTAAGTAATGAAAAAGTTTTCTTGAAATTGTGCGTAGAATAAAAAAAATTGTTAATGCCTATCCGGCAAACCATTCTAATATAAATAAATATATAAAAAATGAAAAATTGTTGATATAATTTGATATAACTTGATAGTATGGTTTACATGAAGACAGTCAAACAATTGTCATTTTCTTTCGTTTGTTTGAAAAATCTAGTTACTTGTTTACTGGGTTTTACTGTTTTTCATTGACGTTTATTATTTCACTGGTGTTCAATACTTATTTTCTGAATATCATTGAGATGTTATTTGTATATTTTGCTTTAGCTTGCCAAATTAAATTTGATTTGAATCTCTATTATGCGTGATTTATGAAGCAATCACCCAACTTAATGAAAACACCACTGTATTATAGCAACTAGGCCGTCATGCCGCAGCAATAAACAAATCATGCGTAATCCACATATTGCAGTGTATCTTTATGTTCATGGGTCGTGTATCAAATATGAAAGCGGTGCACTTTTTGAAATATCTGGATATTTATGATTCCATTCGAAGAGGTATTTATGTATTTTTGACGATTTCAAATGAATACAGAAACGATCGATCCTGAAGGTACTGTTGTTTGAAATCCGGTACCTTATCATTCTGGATTGTGCGCACAAGTGAGTAAAATGTTGCATTCATAGCCAAACCACATATTATTGAAATAACAATACAGCAATAACAAATTCGTATTAATCATGCAGTGCCGACGCATGACTCGATATATATAATACTTGCAGCACAGCTGTTATACTCGTCGTAAAAGAATATCTAACGTCGTCTTGAGTATAGGAAATCGATAAAAATTACTCTACCATGCATTTTTCCAAATCTATTTGGTATGAATTGCGCGTAATACAAAAAATACCATTTTTACGTAACTATCGAGGTCAGTCCATTTTTAGAATGGCGAAATTCCAGTTGAGCGAAAGACAAAGGTTCATAAGAAAAATTCAACGTCTTCAATTACCAAGGTGGATCTTACTTGACCTGGGCGAATAAGTTTCTGAAGTGCAAGGCTATTACGTGCAACGCATTTGATTAGACTGTACAAAGGTAATAAAGCTAGTTTAATTAAGACTTTTGCCTTGCTTCGCTCTACTGTTTGCTGTGGGCATTTAATGTACGCGCACTGTTATTGCAAGGATAACCTAAGCTGATAATCGACTTGGTAAGTGGTGTCTACAGTCAGGATTAATTACCAGTTCAATAAGATAACGCTGGCAAAAGCAATAAGTGGAGCGAGAACGCGTTAATTTATAATTTCAAAGCAATAATTATTTATAGATTTACGATGGTGGAGGATTGATGCGATGCAAATTATGCAAGACTCGAATGAGAACTAGACAGAGGATTGAGCGGATGGAGGATGAATATAATAAGAGGAACGTTGATTGAAAATCAATAGGTGTTGGTGCGGCTGCCAGCTTGCTCGATTTCTTCGAATCTGATCTAATTGAAAGGACGCCGGAGCGATGACGTATTGGATGGGAGCCGAAGCCGCATTACGCGCTCGTTCGGGGAATAGCGCGAACGAGACGGAGTCGATGGGATTTTCGCTCGTTAGGCTTGGCGGGAGGAGAGAATAACGAGTCTCGTCGGTTTGAGAAAAGTATTGATCCGTTACAATTAGAAAGCGAGACAAAGCGAAGAGAGCGTGCGGCTGCAGACGTCGCAGTCGAGCGGCAAACTGGTGCGAGTAGGCCACGGCTCCGAGGAGCGGGCGGATGCGCGGTCGGCGCGGCGGCCAGGTGCGAGCAACAGCTTGGAGAGGCGTGATGTCGCAGCGAAGGGAGAGGACAGAGGGCCGGCTCGGCGGCTCGGCGGCTGGCGGAGGCGCGCGGCGATGGCCGAGGGCGAGGGAGTCAACAAGTAAGTCGCCGGCGGGCGCCGCCAAGGTACCTGCAGAGTCGGGGCGAGGGCGTAACGCAGCGCCCGCGGCGGCTCGCCTCGGCTGGCCGTGCTGGCGCTGGTCTTGCTGCCGAGGAGCTGCAGGCCTGGAAGCGGGCGGCGCGCGCCGGTGAGAGCCGCTGTTGCTGGCGGCGGCGACGGCGGCGGGTCGATCGATGCCTCGGGAGCTGCGCGCACGGGCCGACAGCCACGGGATAACTGTCGGCTGGCGGTGCTCGCCAGCCTCCGTCGACGTCGCACACGCGCATACGCGCACAGCAGCCCATCCGCCGCTCTCCGCCAGTCGGCCGGGGACACCAGAGCTGCCTGACCCGGCCGCTGCCGCCCGTCGAGTCGTTCTCTTGAGGCGCTCGCGGCTTCCTGTCCACGCCTTCGCACCGACTTATCAACACCAATCATTTTTCACGCACCACTTTCATTCAAGCAGCGCGCAAGCACATTACTCTTGGTTTTCCAGTCAAAGCATTTTTATAAATGTTATTGGACGTTGGACATTGAAAGCTCATGCGAGATTAGCGTCATTCGCGTTCACAGCATTGAAATCACAGAAATTTTTCTCAAAAATTGGCTATTTTATTACTTTTCAGTTTTCATGTTACCAAGTCCTGCAGCTCAACGTTTCATGCATATTTTTTTCAACCATCCCTATTTACAATCTGTCTACAAAAACGACAATAAGTAAATTTTATATAAGCAACGAGCGATAAATTTATACATGAAGGTATTTCTCCAGTGATGCCTACTTTTATCGTTACATATTTACATTATTTTTATTGAATTACAAGATAAACATAATAAATATTAAGTTTGTGCAATTGGTGTTTTATATTTTTGAATCTTGTACCGCTAGTGTTATATGGAACATTCCAACATATATGGAAAATTCCTCGCCAAACAATTCAGATATTTCGGTTGCGTACTTTCTGCTTGCAGCTTCTATTTCTTCTGTTGTCACCTTCATGTCTTTACTAATGATCTCATTCGTAATAAATTTTGGAATCTTTTAATAATTTCTATGTTCAATTTTGTTCCCGTACCTCATAATTGCATTCCGTAAGTCCATATTGGTTTCATTAAGCATTTACATATTAATACTTTATTTTTACCTAGTAACATTTTCGTAACTATACGTTGAGTTACTTACGTTTGGTCTAAATGTGGTCTCGCCATGTTAATGTGCGATCTAAGTACATCCCTAGGTATTTGGCTTTGTCCTTTTGTGGTATTGGTTGAATTTGTATGTGAACTGGTCGGCAAGTTCTTTTCTTTAAGGTTACCTGTATTGATTTTACTTTGTTAATTGTTATCCTCCATTTTTCGAACCAAAGTTGGGTCGTTTCTAGCTACTTTTGCACATTTATAGAGGCTTATGTTGTATTAGAATGTGAGGTTAAAATTGCTGTGTTATTTGCATAAGTGGCGATACTTCTACCTTCCACGGTTGGGAGATCACAGGTGTCAATTAAATGTAATAAAGGGCCGAGAACCCTATCTTGGAGGACTCCGACTTCTATTGAATATAGTTTAGTAATTTCATTATTTACTTTAAAAGTCCTATAACATATAGGTATCAAGCTAAGAGTAAGTAAAGATTTTCACGTAAGATTTTACGGAGTTTGAATTTACTAAATTTTGCCTTTATGCCAAATTTTGTCTAACTGAGCTACATCAAGTAATACAGCAGTAGAATATTCATTATTTTCAAAGTTTTTCTAATTTTAGTGGCTCCTCTATTAATTTGTTTTATTAATATTTTATTTAATCTTTTAGTTATTATTTTTTCACATACTTTTTATAGGGTAGGGTAAGATTGATAGGTCTGTAGGATGAAACAAGTTCGGATGACTTTCCTGGCTTGGCAATGAATATTATTGTTGCTATTCTCCATTGAATGGGAAAGTCTAATAATCGGATTATTGAATTAATTAGGTAATGAGTCTTTTTTGCTTTAAAAGATGGTTCTTTAACTAATTTTCCATTTATGTTATCGTGTCTCAGGCTCTTTTTATTTTTAAGATTACGTAATATATGGTTAATTTCTTTTACATTTACATTATTGATTGTATAATTATTACAGCAAGTTGCTTACGTATTGTTAAACCAAGGTACCTTCTGCTTTTTCTGTTGTACTAAGTCGTGAGGGTTGGGTTTAAATACGTCTTTTAGTACTTAGCAAAGAAAGTAGCTTTTTCTATATCTGTTCTTATCCATGTCATGTCGTTTTTTAGTGTAGGAAAAGAAAATCGTCGGAGCGATTTATTTTTTTTTTGTTGCTTTCCAGAGTGAATAGTCTGTAACTTTGGTGGTAGTTAAGTTTTCTAAATAAAATTTTATTCTCGCATTTTTTCTTTATATAGAATTGTTTTTATTCTTTAATTGATCAATTACAATTTATTTTATCAGATTGTTGTCTACTTTGTTGTCATATTTTTCTTGATTGCTTTTTTTTCTTTTAATTTTTCTAAAATTGTTTTTAAGATAAATGCATTGGATATTGAGTTGATTGGATATTTAAAATTATACTATTGATCGCTTTATAAATATATTCATTTAAATTTTCTATATTGCTTGTAAAAGGTACACTATACGATTAACAGAACATCCTAATTGTTTAGCGAAGAAACTAATTCACGCAACACCAAGAATATCAAGATTTAAAAAATATAAATCACCATTTATACATGTATAATTTAGCTCTGTAAAATCAAAGTACTGGTACGGAATAATGGTAAAGTACCTTGATGTAATGTAGATTTTGTAATCAGAAAATAACATTGTAGTAATATTATTTACTTATTATCAACAGAAAGATTGTAAATAAAATGGGAAATAAAAAATACTTCTTTATTGCAGTATCTATATCTATAAATCAGTATTCAGCGGTATTTTACACCTTTTCGTTTAGTATTTGTTTATATGTATTCCAGTTTGTTTTTATATTATAGAGAGAATTACTTTTTGTATTAGTTTTTATTTCTAAGAAACAGTGTATAATTATTGGAAAATAATCTAAAGTTAAATCTAGACATGATTTGGCTATTAATCTTTTGCAGCATAGGTTCTTCGACGACTGCAAAGTAAATTAAGTTAAGTAATTTGTTTGAATCGTAGAGCCAGTGATATTGGAATTAAATTTTATGCTTGCATTATGAGTCTAATTTAACTCCTTTTAGATTTGGAATTATTGACCTTGATCCCCATCATGAATGTTTCGTATTGCGCTCATCTGTGAAAAATTCATGTCCTATAGTCTATTAAAGTATTTTTGTATTGTTCTTTAGCGATAGATTATCTATTATGACAAAGAGCATAAATGGACCTCTTTTATCTTCAACTGTAACATTAATAGTTTGTAGGTAGTTGTATTTGTGAAAATCGCTTAAATCACGTATCACAATATTTTTAATAATAATTGCTGTTTCACCATGTGCTTCATTGTCAGGGTGATTTATGTTATATATAAAATATTGCAGTATGTTTAAAAAAATTGCATGTGTGAAGTGAGTTTTGGGTATTAATATTGTATCAATGTTATTGTTTATTAGAAACACCTTTAGTTCAATTTGAGTTAATTTCTTTAGATTCCAAACAAATATTTATTTATTTATTTATTTGCTCATGTGTAGCCTTCACGGCCTTTTAAAAAATGCTCATTTACATCTATAACAGCATTCCAAACAATTATTTTAACTTCTTTGTTCATTTAATCTTATTAATCAGATTAAGCATTGTATCCATTCTGTTTATCAGTTACATAAACGTAGTTTCCAGCTGACTGTTATTTACAGATGAGGGTTTCTGTTTGTTTGGATTCCTCATGTATTTTAAAAACATTACCGTTTACTGCCTGTGCATTCGTGATGTGTGACCTCATGTTGTTTTCGTTAGTTTGAATTTCTCGTGGTAACAGTTTTGGTCCTACTAGTAATAATGGAAATAGGTTTTATTGTAGTTGTTTTCTCGCATTAAATAGCTTGCTGTATGATTACTGTAATTTATATACTTAACTTCTTTTATTTTTGTTTGTGTTGGGCTTTCGTCGGTGAAATGATTTTCTTCGCATTTAACGCAAATGTGAGTCATGGTAGTAGCTTTAGGTATGGCCAAAATCCTGGCAGCGAGTGCATTGAGGGATAACATTCTTTTTAGATGCCAATTAAAAATTAACGATTTTATTTTGTAGTCTTGTAATTGCAAAAAGTACTTGTTTTCTCTTATTTTTAATTCTATAAAGAATAGTGGAAGGGGTTGTTTCATATTCTGCGTTTGACGTTCGCGATTCGAATAATATTATGATTATATGGTTGAATTTCTGTTTTTAGTTCGTTTATATCGACTGATGGGTGCATGTTTTTTAAGACAGCTTTATACGATTTATTTTTTTTAATTTGAAAAATCTTGAATAACGTATTATTATTTTTTAATTCCTTAACGATTGGGACGAATAGTTTTGGATTATCTGTCTGTATATTAACTTTATTATTATACAGAATTTTGATAGTCAAATTATTTTTGGCACCTGTCAAGTAATTTTTTCAGAGGACACATATTTATTACATCATATACAAAGATAGGCGGCGATCTTTGCATTGTTTTTTTTCCTTGGTATTGATGAATTTTCGCTGAAGATGCTTCCGTTATTTGTATTTCCTTTTAATACTTTGAATGGATTTTCTGTATTAACTGTTACAAGCCAAAAATTCTGATTGTCCATTTATCTTTTCTTAATAATTTTATTTTTAAAAGGGCTATTCCTATTTCTTTTATTTCTTGACATTTTTTATTTAATCGTTTTTTTTTCGCTTGTGTTTTCTGGCATGCCTGTTCAAACTTTTGAGCGTCAGACATGTTGGCTATCTACTTATTTATCTATATCTATGAATTATTGCACTTATAATTTAACTTTAATCACTTATATTTAAATTTTTTTACTACGAATTAGTATATTACTTGTTTCTATTTTCCGACTGCACTACTAAGCTGTTCAATTAGAACACAGTAAAACACGCGTCCACTTTGCATGAGTGCTAGCACTCGAATGAAGCAGAAGGTAACCCAAAATATAAATTCTACGCATTTGATACGTAGAACTAGAAGATCAATTACATCTGTTCTTTTATAATTTTTGTTAAACTCCGAAAAACTTAATCGTGAGAATAATATATCCGTTTTTGAATTGGTTTTAGTATAGTTTTGTATGACGAAAAAAATTTACTAAAATTATGTCATCTGACGG